TTTTGTAACTGTAATATAGAAGCTATAAGCATGTAGTCACAACAAGTGAAAATCTTTTGACGAGAAAACAAATGTTTAACATTTTACACTGGTTAGCATTGCGACGGCACAAACAAGACGAATCTTGCAGTGCTTTTAAAGAAATTATACCATCACAACAAATATTTTTAAGCTGTGGTCATGATAAACAATAAGCATTGTATTACAAGTATCATGCATATTAAATCCAGCTATTTTCAAACCTTACCATAATTCGATAATATATCAATCTTCATTATGTATTTGTAACATTAGGACGGTGCAAAAAGTCAATTTTCTTTGTCATATCCTTAGAAAGTAAGTTAAATCAACCATCGCAAGTAAGTACTATTCATTGACAAGTAGAAATGAATATGCCAAAACATGAAGCCATACGAGTGTGTTTAAAAGCTAGAAACACAGCTGCCAGCCATGTTTGTTACATTTTAGCAGTTTGTGGTGGTACCACAAACAAACTGCGCCTCGTATGGGCTGGTTTAGCGCAAAACAGAAATGCCAGGGTGTAAAATACAAACACACGATGAATTGTTTTTCAATTTGAAATATTTCAATTTTTGGTGCAAATATATTACATTTTGCCTATTTTTAATGATAATTGATGTTTCAAACTTAAATATAAAAAGAAGAAATGGATGCCCTTTGAATTGCATCCCGACATCTTCGGGTTGGTGCGTAATTAATGCGCTACTTTGTACACAACCATGGTTATCATAACAAGACGTGAAGAATAAAAACATTTGTTAATATACAGCAATTTTTGTGGTTCATTTTGCAATTAAACATTACATAGCATTACAGAAACAGTGATAAGTTGTGTATTCATTTCGAATACTAATATTCATGGTTGTTTTTATTTTTCTTGCCTGGATCGTAGTTATTACCTTCACCAAGAAGGTTATGTTTTCGTTGGCGTTCGTGTGTGTGTGTTTGTGTGTGTGTGTGTGTGTGTGTGTGTGTTTGTGTGTGTGAGTGTGTTTGTTTGTGTGAGTTTGTGTGTCTGTACGTGTGTGTGTGTGTGTGTGTGAACTGCAAGGGCATTTGTTGAAAAATGTTTAAAGGATAGAGGATAACTCAAAAACCGATTAGTGGATCGTCGTCATTTTGGTATGCAGGTAGCTTAAGTGATGCTTGACATAATAATAGTACATCTATTCAAACATGGATGTAATTTGCATAATGAATGAGGAAATTCTATAAATAAGTTTCATTTCATGATAGGACTATTCAAGCTTATGACACATGTAGTTAAGAATGAGAGAAACACAGGAAGACATCAATTATGCAAATGAAGGCTATTGGGAATTTGCATAATTAATGAGAAAATGATACAATTCCATTGTGGTAACTGCCTGGAATTTCCTACTTGGGCATTTAAAAGTTAAGTGAAGGCAAACATTAAACATTTGCCTCATTTGCATGATTTTGAAGGAAATACTATAATTGCATTCTTTGTTACGATAAGACTGTCTTTTAGTGTACAATATGATCAGCATATAATTCCTGCAATTGATCCTATTTGCACAATCAGGGGGACTTAATCTATAATTCCTTAGTCATAAAGTCTAACATCATTCGGCGAAGTATGAGATCGTGGAACTCTACTCTTGTTATATTATGATTCCTTAATTATTGTCAATTGATAAATATAAGAAATTCTAAGTGCTGCAAACAACAGGAAACATGGTTACGGGTTTTCAGACAACAGTCATCATTGAGTAACCATGATTCCAACTAGTACGTCAATGTGGTGAGGGGCATCTTTAAGCCCTTGTCATATCAAGCCATCGGCTAGTATGAAATTGAAGTGTAATTCGTGCGGCAAGTTAGTGACCGCCAAGTGGCTGACAACACACATAGTTTCTGGATAAATACCTGTTCAACTGCAGATCCCATTCGCCGATGACAAAAAAGTAATGGATGCCAATTTCAATGTCTATAACTGTTACAGTTTTCAAATTCTATGAGTTGATTGAGTAAGTACTCATTGTATAAAACAGAATGTCCAGTTGGTGAAGTTATGAAGTACAGTTGTATGAACCTCGAAGGGCTTCTTAGTGTTTGCCTACATTTATCTCGATTCTAGGATGTTTTCTCGGTGATGTGTTTTCACATGGAGGTCGTTTTTATCATTTAAAAGACGTCAGCAGAAATAACTGACAAAGATGAGAAAGAAAAAAAGACCACCTATAATTGATCATGTTGTGTTACAGTTAGTTCTCGAAATGAGCATGCAGGATGTTCAGCACCTTAAACTCTGAATTAGAAAGAATGAATACTTTATCCTAGAAATGAGATAAAAGAGTTGACATATGTCCATAGTCTGTTTTTTCTCTGCTTTAGTCTGGAGGAAATAGGCAGTGGTCCAATACGCCTACAGAGGGATAGAGAGGGAGGGAGGGAGAGAGAGAGAGAGAATTGTTTTCAGAAAATTCATTTTGTACAGATATTTAGACGTGTGAATCAATCAATAAGGACGACAAAAAGGATACACATGACCTGTTGAATGCTATCCACAATGAGACTTTTAGGCAAATTTTAAGCCTATGTTCATTAACAAGTGGTCATTCAAAGCACAAAACCCAAGAGAGGAGTATATAGAATCGATTGTATCTGATAACTAGAAAGGTAACATTCACAAAGCAAATACATAATGTTTCATTACCTTCACGTGATATAGCCCAACAAACTACTACTCTGTTTAAAGGTAATCAAACAAATTCATATATGATATATATGATGACCAGCCCCTCGAACTCTGTTCTGCTATAAAAAATAACCCAACATGACAGGGTGTCAGATACAGCACTAGTTACCATGGTGATAGCCTTCTGGGCCGGTCATTGACAACAATTGTATGCATGGGAAGATGAGGAAGAAGAACACATTTAAACACTATGTATTTAAATCTATGTAAAGGTGTATGGAAATGAATATGAACCGAATGCTCAAGTTTTGGTGCCAACAAAACAGCGAAATGTATCTTTGGTCAGAAAGCTTATACTTGTTATGATTGGGTACCCTTGGAGTGACTGAATTGCCATACATTTTCACATCGTGTGTGTGCAGTCCAGGAAAAGAAATTGTTGCTGTAAACTTTTCGTCAGGTGGAAGACACTCGTTACTGAATCGTTTTATCTTCAGAACTACCATAAAGTGGTAGTTTGGTTGACCAGGCTACGTTGCTTACCTGAATATTTAATGGAAAATCCGGTACAGGTTTTGGCAGCGTCGGATGTGAAGATAATGTGAGCGGTCCTCCCACTGGCCACGACGTCCCGGCCTGTGGTGCCGCAGAACTTGCCGAGTTCTGTGCCGCTGGAGGTGGAGCCATCATACACCGTCACGGAGTCATACATACAGCCAGAGGATTGTTCCAAGTCCAGACTTATAAACCTGCAGGAGAAAAAAAATATTACAGAATATATGGCGCTGGGGTCCGCGCGTGTACTGTTTAGGGTTAACTTAAACTTTAAAGAGACAACTGTCATCAAAAGCCATGAAATGCCAAAAATGACTGGCTAAAGTTTACATAACCTCCAAATAAAGAACGTACCTTCCATTTAACCCTAAACAGAACACTATATATTCTGTAATATCTTTTTTGTTTCTAAAGATTTTTTTCTGAAATTTTAGGTAATTGTCACCCACAAAGTTGTCTCCCAGTACAGTGCAGAAAACTCCGTTTCGAACATTTATAAAAAATTATATCTGATTTTCTTTTGGGGTCCGCGCGGACCCCAGCCGGCTTTCGATCATAATGGATACACTGGCGTTCTTATACATTACCTTATTTCCGTTTCTATATGTTTTTATGCACTCATCGTATGTCTACCAAGTTTTCAGAGAATGGTGTAGTAATAGAATTAAATTTTAATAACTTTGGTGTAATTATGACGTCATATGACGTCAGAGCTAATAATATAGTCCGCCATATTGGATTTTGACCAATGACGTCATCAAATTAGCATATGCTATGCATATTAAATGATTTAACTTATATCTAAGATGTTATTAATGTTGTAAAAGAAGTGCAATTCAATATAAAACCAAAATTACTTCTATTTAAAAAAAACTGCCTGCTAGAAACCCGTTGCCATGGCAACACAAAAAAACATCAACTTACTAGTATTAAATTAATATGAACTTTTTCCAGAGACATTTTAGGAACGGTCTCCAAATTTGATACTTCTAGCGCAAGCCATTTAGCCGCTATCTGAGATCAAAGTTGGGCCTCAAAAGCCCCTTCAGTCTGAAATGGGTTTAAAAATCGAGTATTTCTTCTTGTCTTCTTTTCTTCACCAAAAAATAGAAAAAGTTCAAAATGTATGATTTTTTATGTAATTTGGACACAGAGGTTCCCACATCAGTTTGCAAAACAATTTAGCCGGTAGCATGTTGATAATTTCTAAACATTAGCAAAAAACTGCTCTTGGGTCACCCCAGGTGTACAGATTAATCAGTCCGGGAAGGTGTTCTGTTGAGGGTTAAAACTGTAACATGGTGTGTACAAGGTCACGCACCGGAAGACAGCGGGATTACTCGTAATATATAACTTGAGGACTAAAGCCACTGTTACACATAGTCGAATACCCCATTCCCACACACCCCGAACTAGCCAAACACAACTATGGTTAGGGGTTTAGAGTGGCTCGGGAGCAAGGATAAAGTCGGCTGTGGTTGGCTGGTGGTCGGCGAGGTTAGCTACTGTTTGGCTGTGCCAGAAGGATGCTTCAAAGTGCCAAAAAAACAGTTACTCAAGCAACTGGATATGATTTTGAAAACGTCAGACGTTTCAGCTAGTATCCACTAGCTTTCGTCAGTG